TTGCCTCTTTCGCCTGATCTCATACACCTCAGAATTGTACTAATTTGTATGTCTCTAGAAACTTTAGCATACTACATTGGCCCTGTCCATCTAAAGTGCCTCCCTACTACTAGTTCTCCGTCTTTATCTTTTTCCTGAGTTAGAAACGATATATGACAATATACAGCCAAGGTTGCAAAAGATCTTAAAATCAAAATCTGTTCAAACAATTGTCCAATTTAGTTCAACAATGCAGAAAACTCTATTGGTTTTCTATTTAAAAACCTGCAATTTTCTAACAAAACTATAGCAATCAATATAGCAAATACCTTAAACATCAAATTCACTAACCAACTTTTAAAATACAATATTAAGAAAAGCTCTTATGGCTTAAACTTATATTATACACAGGAATAGTATGTTACAAACCAGAACTCAAATGGTTCAAAGATTTTAACAATCTGAACAATCTTCATGAAACCCATAATCCAGTATCAAATCCCAATCTATTATTCTAATACTTATACAATTCAAACTGTGTCATCAAAATATATAAGAGAAGTTGAAGCATAAATAAAAGGGCAAACCTTAAAGAAAGACACTATTTTGTTAATCCAAATAATACTTTGTCCAGGTGCAGTGATTGTCCAATAGAATTATACTTAGCAAGCTTGTATACATTGTCATTTACAAGCCCCACAGCACCCTCATTATGGTTAGTCTCAAATCCTAACAGCATAAGCAAATATTGACTATGCAACATAATCAGTGAACTGTTCACACACTATAGCAAGGAGAAAACATTTTTTAATTTGTTGACAACTTTTTTATCTCTTCTTCCATATTAGCACTTCAAAGAATTGGCTTTTGTCAACAGTATTATTTTCAACTCCATCAAAACAAGATTTTTGTAAACAGTACAAAAATAATACTAACCAGTCCAGGATATTCACTAGGAAACTTTCTTTATATAATAATGAATATCTTACACTAGTGCTCATCAAACTGTACCATAGAAATAAGAAGCAATAAGAAAATTATCCAAGAAGTCTCCAATTATTCAAGAAGAATAATAAAAACCAACTTCACTCCAATATTGCTAGAAATTAACAAATTAATCCAATATAGATACACCAATTCCAAATCCAATCCAAGATTTGATGACATTCTTCAATGATCCAATTCACTACTTCACTTTTCTGAAAACCTACTAATTAATAACCTACAATTAGACAGTAGCATCAGATAGTACAAAAAAATCCTAAGCATTACCAAAACCTATATAATTTGTGAAAGTTTCTCAATTCCCAAAACATTTAAATATATTCACAAACCCTAAGGTCTCAAAATTATTAATAAATTAAACAAAAGAATAAAAAGTTCTAGAGCTAACAAATATAGTAATCTCATTGCCTTCAGAATTAAATTGCTTTCAGAAACCTTCTTCACAAAGGAAAATCTCTACAGATTGTATTTAGAAAAATATCCTGATTCATATTGTGCCCAGTATAACTTATACACTGAGAATATTCAACATATCTTCAAATGTCCATCAGTATCAGAAAATATCAACCAACTTATCCCCACTATTAACAACATTTTTCACCTTGATGGTGATCACAAGTCTATCTTATATGCTTGACAATTAGCAGAGCTGGCATGTGACATCACAGACAATATCTTCTCCACAACTAATTTCTTCAATTGAATTGAAGCTTCAACTGAAACTTTAGCTCATCTATACAAGTCAATTTGGACACCTCATTGTGTCATAGCAAACACCTTTCCTCTTACAATATCAAATGAAAAAACAATTTTCATAGTAACACAACAAAACAACTATCAAAAACACAGCCAAAACTAAACAACTCAATAACAACTTCATATTAACATCAACTATTATTGATGTACCTATTATCATAGCTGACTCATACATTCAAAGTGGATTCAACTTCACTAAATGCATTTTCAAACTAATTTCAGATCTTTCTAACTTCTTTTCACCCAATGCTGGGTAGGTAATTATAGCTGCTTGGAACCACTTGATAAGATATATTGTTTTAAAAATTTCTTTTCAATATTAGTCTAGTGGTTACTGTAGGCAAGCTAACATTTAACTCATTGTACTAATATATATAAAAAATGTTGTTTCTTTCACAATGTATATCTATTATTATACAAATAAATAAAGAAATGATGTTTATCTACAAAAAAAAAAAAAATTTATTAAAATATTTACTTTATATTCATAAAATAATTTGTGATTTTCAAAACTTTATATCTGGTGTTACATTTAATATCTGCAATAAAATATATGGAACAATAAATAGTATAGCTGCAGAAACTTATAAAACTTTTATAAAACATGTATTAGAAATCTATATTACATATTTAATAAAAAAAATTATATAAGACAAATATTAAAAACAGTATAATTATAAAGTTATCTATTTTAATTTTATTTATTTATTATTTATTAAAATTTAATAAATAATTATTTTAGATTAAACAAAAAAAATTGATAGAAAGCAAAGTTTCTAAAAATTATCAATAAATTATAGAATTTTATAAACCTTTGTAAATATTAAAATTTAAAATTTAAATTACTTTATACAAAAACTAAAAATAATTTGGATTTATTACAAATTGAAAGATTTAATATCTTAATAACAAGTTTTGATAAACTTCTTGAAAAAAATCAATCAATTCTATTTATAATAATTATCAATTGGAAGTATTTTTTTCAACAATATTGAAAAATAATAATATTATCCATTTCTTATCAAATTTTCATGGAAATTTATTTTTTAAAATATTTTTATAAATAAAAAAAATAAAGATAAAAAAATAATTAATATGATTTAATAAGGATTAAATTTAAATTATATTAATATAAATGATAAAAATTATTATAATTAAATAATTTATTTAAATATTGTTAATATTTAAATTTTATCAATCTAAAGATAGCAAACTATTTAAACTTGTTTATATTTATTGGTATCAAGAAAATGGTAAATTAGAATGATATTAAAAATTAGAATTACTTGAATGGTATAGTATATATACAGTTTCAAGATTTGATAAAGCCAATGAATATTTAGTAAATAATTATATATTTTAATTTTAATCAACAAAATCAAATAATATTGATTAATGTTGAAATTAAACATATTGTTTTCTAACAATAGATAATATTTATTGTTACAAATCAAAATCTATTAACCTAATAAATAAAAATTTATATCAATATTGATATAAATCAATTATTAAAAAATTTTATTTTTGATATAAATTGATAGAAAGCATTATCATCAATATATATTGGTTAATTATAATTGATTATTAGTGATTATAGGTTGACTATCAATAAATAACTCTAAAAAATTTCTTGATAAATATGTTCTTTATATAAAGTAAGTTTAGGTGAATGACCAGGAATAGATTTGTTTTCTAATTTGTTTGTTTCAAGATATTTTTTTTAAGTCTAGATATAGTAAAATAATAAACATTGTTACCAATTTTGACAACAATCTGACATAAAATATAATTTTCTTTTAATAAGATAATAGTCTTTGTTCTTTTTTCTATAGATAACTGTCTTGAGAACATTTGGTTTATACAAAGTTTGAGTAAATTTTTGCATTTTTATATTTTTACAAAAAAATGCCAAAGTCGCACAACAGTAAATTTTTATTAATTGCATCATAAAAAAAATTTATTATTATTTTAATCATTATTCTACTGTATACATTGAATAGATTAGAGATTAGATTATACACTATATATCCTATTAATTTCACCATGATTTGATCTGATCTGATCAAAATTTTAACACTTAAAGATCGATGATTAGGTGTTGCATTCTTTTTGGGAGACGGTGTACATAATCAACGTCATTCTGAGACAAATTTAAAATCATTGTTGCATTAAAAGTTTTAACCCAACCTATCATTTCCTTTCCATCAATATTATTAAAAAATCTAAAAATCTAAAAATCTTTTTAGCTCTTTCTTTTCTTTTTCGAAGAATCACTGAAATCTGTTCCCTAATTTTATCGTTAACTCTCCTATTAGATACATCCTCACTACATATTTTTCTATAATGATCGAATCATAATTTAATACCTTTACCAAAATCATAGTGGCAGTAAACCATATTGTGTAATTTTCTGATATATTGTCTTCGGCATTGGTAATCTTATTCATATACTGTAACTCACGAAAATTAACTGAATCTTTGTCAATTTCGGAAACATCTGACTGTAAAATGATCGTATTACTAGGTGAGGTTTTCTGGATAGGAGTTGTCAATTCTTTGATTAGTTTTTTCAACGTTGATGAGTCTTCTTTTTTAGCTGGCTTAGTTTTTTTGTTGTGAGAAGTATCGGTAAAAGTAGGTTTGTTAACACGTTTTTGTGGTAAACAGCAGTTGTACGAGATTTTTCCTCGACACGATGCTCGGCTTCTTCATTTCTATTCAGAACCATTTGTTGATCCTGGGACGAAGTTTTTTGAGAAATAAATCCAACATTATGGGTGAATTTATCAGCCAGATTTAGTAAATTTTTTGATCTAGCTTTCTTATTGGTTGGGGAATTATCTACACTGATCCGATCCTTTAACAAACCAATGATAATCCCGATTGCCTTTTTCACATTGCTTCGGAGAATATATAGATTTTCTTTGACTTCTGTCTTCGAAAGATTTATCTGATGCTCGCTATTACTCGTGGCATATATTCCTTCCGGGGTATATATGATGAAATGCCATTCCATGGCTAAAAATAAATTCGCATTAGCGATAGAAAAATCAGGGAGAAATCACGTGCGTGTTATTTTTCGGAATGCCGATTACTTTTTGCCAAACGAAAGATTGTAGTCACATGAAATTTATTGTTAAAAATAAGTGGAAATTTTACTAACCTTATTGCATTACTTAAAAAATCCTTACAAGAATAACATGAGGTAACAAGCAAAAAAAAATTACAAATTTCTGATATGTGTAATTCTCTAATTGTAATCACATGAATCGAGGCAAAATGCGAGAAATCATGTGAAGTCCTTTTCGGAAATAAAAATTCTTCATTGATCTCTTTGTTTTTACATTCACTCGTTCTTTGCTAATTTGATCCATGTTGCGCATTTGCCCAAGAGAAACAGTATGGATGTTTTTGACTTTATTATTACGGATAGATCTATATGCTCTTCCAGCAAATGGTCCAAAATAGTTCGTAAAAGCATTTCTATCTACGATTCCAGACCTTTTTGGAATTTCAGCATTACAATTTGCAGTAGTAAAGAGTATGAAAAAATCATTTTTCGATGCAGATTTTTCACGCTCTTCCTGGTACTCCTTTTTACTGACTGCCTTTTCCCGCAATTTAAATTGGTGAATTTCATTCGAATTCTCGGTACCCGGCTGATCTAATGAAAGGAAGGAATCTCCATATGGTGAAGTAGGAGCATTAATTATACAATGTTTGAATTGCCGGACATCAACGGTAGAATGGCTGCAATCAACATTCCATTCGCTTGTAGTGAGACTTTTAGATTTTGTGTCTGTATAATGTTTTGCAATTTCAAGTCGTAGATTGTGGTTTTTAAATTGGATATCACCATTCAAACGTGCTCCCGCGTGAACATCTGAGATCGTTACTAGCTCATCTTCTTCAATCACAGCTGACTTTATACAACGAAATGATGCGACAAAATTTTCAAAACTCTGCCATGACTTTGCTTGTAACGATGTTACTGGATTCAGGAGTGCTCTTTGTTCCTCATAATCAGCGAACTCCCAATCTCGAAGTATTGGATCTCCTTGTTGTTGAGATATCTCTGCAAATACCCAGAGCCAGATGTACGGCGCAACGAGGTATCCGTTTGGACTATTTTCTATTTGTTCGAATCGAATTAACCCACCCCCAGCAAATTCATCCGGTGTTTTGTTAGTTTTAGGAAAAGGCTTATATCTATTTAAGATACGTCGAGTCAATATTGCTCGTGCAATAGGCCTGGCATCGTCCACAGAACCAAGAATAGCATCACGGTATTTTTCAGTAAGTTTAGAACGCAGATCGTTCATCAAAGTATAAACGTTGCATTCTTCAACGTTACGACCGACCAAGCAATCATTCAGAACTTCTAGTGCTCTTCCATGCCCTCCACAGTCTTCCACAAGAATATTAGTAATCTCGTCATTTTTAAAGACCGGGACCAAACCATCTGCTTGTCGATAGCTTGGGGGTTGTAGAGAAGTGACCGGTAGGTATATACGTTTCCGCTGAGAATATCTCAACGTACCATCAATCGGCCCAGTGATAGTTGAGGTACAAACAGGTATCACAAAAGTGCCACTAAATGCAAGATCTGCGACA